AAACATTTCACGGTTCCAGCTTCATACATGTGAAGTTTTGTTGCTTTTTCTTTTAATTATATTAATAATTTAAATTAATTTTTAATTATGTTGAGGTTTGGACAAAACAAACCTTGTGTCACTTTGGGGTCTCTGAATTTTTAAAACCAAACAATCAATAAAATAGTCAACAGATTATTTCATAACAAAAATAATAATTCGTTGCAGTCCAATACAGAATATTTGTAAATGAGCTCCACCTCAACAACTACAGCAGTAAAATCCTGCTTTACATGCATGTTAAATGATTTATGTTCGAAGCCAAACCTTCTTACTGTAAGGCCAACCACTGATTAAACATACTAAATGCATCTACATATGTAAATAAATAATCAGTGGTAAAAGTTTCACATACCTTACCCTTTCCTTTTGTGAAAAGAATCTTATATTTCACAATCCTGTTGAAAACATGCTTTAGTCAGTGGAGGAAACAACACAACTGATTGTAAAAATGTCTGAGCATATTGTTGCAAGGAAAATAATATATATATATATATAAATATATATATAAATATATATATATAAATACATGCCACAGAGTGTAATGAATAATAACATTTCTAAAATGAGGAACACATTGAGATGGTACAATGCATTATAGCAGATAACCTCACCACAAGAGAAATGTCACTGGTCCTCTACCACACACTCTGAAGCTCTTCTGGGACTCCTTATATTCAATCTGGTTTGCTTGCAAAGCAAATCTTAAAGCAGACTAACATGCCAAATATGGTTCGAGTGACAGTGAGTCTTGATGAATTTGAAATATTTTGCCGGCACAAAATGTGGGATAATCCTTACATGAAGTAGCTTTTTAATTTTTTTTTTATTTGTTCTGTTAATATACATATAAGCGGTAGATGAATAATGGTTTAAATTTGAAAAATGTGATTAAAGATGATATTATCACTTCACATTCTAAGGTATTAACACCTTTAAGATTCATGTGCCTGTTCACATCCTCCTAGTTCACTGCGTTGAAAGTCAATGAAATTCTCTGTGTTTTTCTCAACATCAAAAGAGTGCTAGGAGAAAACTTTGGTATTTGTTTTGCGTTATTTGTTACTGTAATAAAACTTCTTCTAAATATTTTAAGCTTTGAAATGGCTGCACAGAATTGTCTTTCTTTTGAGATTAAGTTTTATACCTTTATTGCGCACATTTAAATCTAACCAGATATGACTTATATAATCTATTTAAACATCAGAAATCAAAAATGTAACTGTTTTTATTTATTTATTACACATTAATTAATTGTAATTAATGAATTAATAATTAAAATATTAATGTCTCCCAAACTAACAGAACATGATTTCACAGGAACGTCACTGTCTCCTGTAAATTTAACTTGCTCCAAGCTCTGTGATGCCTTCTTAAAGATTCAGCATACAGTAAAGAGTGAGTTTAATTTAGTGGTCAGCATGTGCCAGTTGTCAGCAATGAGGAACATATGTTACAGTATGTCCCAGTGAGGCGCATTTTTTCGGGGCCTCTCACATACTCTATCATGTAACCTGATCGTTTGCTGTATGGAGGTGAAAGTAGGCCATTAAAGAGTGGGAGGATGCAAAGCTCGCCCTGGATTGGTTGACTGTATATTGATTAAACGAAAGAGTGTTTTTTACTAAAATTGAATACTGCTTGAAACATTAGGAGACATCCTGTAAGTGTTAACAGCAAAATGTTGACATGATGCTTCTTTTACTCACTTGGATGTCACAAAATTTATTTTTTTGGTGTATTGATCTGTTGTTATAAAGATTTGATGGAAAATATGTTTGAAGAGAATCTCACTGGATAGGATGTCCCCTAAATGTTTTGTCTAAAATCCTAATGATTTCTGCCATCTGTGCTGCATTGAGAAAATTAACACATCATCTAATTTTGTTTTCTCTGAATAATATTACAAAGAGCACAGTTTAGACTTGCACTACAGGAAAAGTGCAATGATATAACTTTGTAATGAATTGGTGCAATATAAATAACATTTTTGCGAATTGGCTCCTATAATGTGTTCGACAGCAAATTCTGTCCAAGATGATTTGATGTTCAGGTGACGTTTGTCCGTCCATGCAGTTGCTGTGAGCATGCAGCTGACTGATGGGTCAAAGCAAAGACCTCCCACTCCAGGGTTTCCCTCATTTGGTCAGATTTTACAGATATACTATTCAGGCTTCGTAAAAAACAAAAAGATCAATGCTACTATATGTATAGCTAAGATGGTTTTCCTATTCATTTATGCTTACCAGAAATGATGATTACTTTGCCTGAATTCGAAAAAGTTAACTTTTGAAACCCAGTCTTTACTGATTAAATCAGTGTCAAGACAGAATTCAATTTGAGTTCCTAAATTAACCCCCCAGTGGTTCCCCACTCGGAGGAAAGAGAGGGGCATTATCTACTCATTTTGTACTGCAGTCTGTCTGCGTTGAGTGCAAACCCATGAATCATTCAATATTGTTATAAACATGTGTTGACGTCTTTTCATTACATGTTTTCTTGAAGGTGCTTGTAACATATGTGTGCTGCATCTATCTAATTACACCAGCTCAATGTAATGAGATAGGTCTAAGAGTACTGAGACGGAATAGAAGAGCTGTAGGTCAGAGATCGGCTGGTCTAATGTGGTGAGGCTGGGAGTTATTGTAAAAAGCCAGTCAGCTGATTTGTTACCAAAGTGACATGTCAAGACGTTTCAACCACACATAGTATAGCATGGTATTAGCATGTTAAATAGTGACCTGGCACTAAACCCCTAGGCTTGCTGAAATGGTTTAAAGCTAGTGCTTAGCCAATGGGAACTTTTGATATTCACCCATTCATAGTGGACAAGTGGCCAAATGACCCAGAATTATGTAAAATTGATGCCTGAGATGTTGTCAATGTGTTGTTAATGTATTCTTAAATTACCTGACTTGCCATACCAGAGCACCTCTGGATATGGTCAGAGCGATAGATCTAAATGCGTCCTCAATGTGTCTTGGGGTGCATTGACACATGTACTTAGAGGTGTGATCAGCTCACACAAGATGCATGTTTGCAGAGGATCTATGAGTAATTTCCCCTTCTCAGACTTTAATATGAATGACAATGAATAACAAAAGAAAAAAACAGATATAGAGTATATGGTACAGTGTAATTTTGTATCGGTCAACAATGCTCTGATCTGGTTTGCTGTTTTGAAAGCAGATGGTTTAGGGTTTCATTTAAACTGTAGTTAAAATGAAGTATCTTTAGGTGTAGGACAGAATAGAATAGAATCAAATAGAATAGAAGCCTTTATTGTCATTATATTACAATGAACACAACAAAAAGTGAGTGTCCCTGCCAGCAGTGCTTAAAAGAAACTGTACACACATCCATATACGTAAAAAAAACAAAACAAAAGAATGCAGACAGGTAGTTTGTAATATTGCAAAAATAAAATTAATGTAAAAACAATAATAAAATGCAATAAAAACAGATGGCCTTTGGAAAGAAACTGTTCATTATTCTGGTGGTTCATGTTCTGATAGACCTGCAGAGTCTCCCTGAGGGCAGGAGATCAAAGAGATGGATGCCAGGGTGAGAAATGTCTTTAACAATGTTTTTTTTTTGCTCTGGAAAGATTGTGGGTGTCTGCAGAGATGAGTCCAAAGCTTTTTTGTATCATTCATAAATTTAAAAGCAGAGTTGGAGGGATGGATTGGTGCGCTGTGATTTGTATGAAGTGAGTAAAGTAATGGGCTCTCAGTCTTGTGGGGAGCCAGTGCTGAGGCTGGAGGAGAGGTGGGGGGCCAAGCTTGACAGACTGGGGGCGGCTGTGAGAAAGTCCATAATCCAAGGGCAGATGTGAGTTGGGAAGCCAAGGTGGAGCAGTTTCCTGATTGATATGTCTGATATAATAGTATTGAACACTGAACTGTAATCTATGAAGAGCATCGGAACGTAGGTCCCTCTGTGTTCCAGGTGATTCAGAGCTGTGTGAAGAGCTAGGGTGACGGCATCCTCTGTCGACCTGTTTGCTGTGTATGCAAATTGATTGGGGGCAAAGGTGGGAGGGAGGCAGTCTTTAATATGCAGCGCAAGTCTCTCAAAGCTCTTCATAACGATTGGAGTGAGTACAACAGGTCTGTAATCTTTACACACCCAGGCTGTCTGCAGCAGGCTGTGTGTTTTTAACTCAGGGTAAATAGGCAGGTGGAGCAGTTGAATCTTGAGCTGCAGCAGCAGCAAAGCAAAGAGTGCTCATAAGGGAGGAGCCTGAATATAAACCTAACAACCCTCCACACCCTGCAGTCTCAGGAAGTTCCTCCGCATTCCTGCCATTTACACACACAGATATATACACAGGCACACAACTGGGTGGAACCACATAGTGAGGCCAGGTGAGTGTGTGCAGAGAGTGAGAGGGTGTAGTTCCTGTTTTCTTTTTAGGAAAAGTGAATAGACGTTGTGTTGTCTTCATGTTCATCTGTGCGTATGTGTGTTCAAACGGTTCAAGCAGGAGTTTGGAGATGGTGTGGGCATGCTGTAGGACTGGAAACCAGAACCTTATCGCCAACCCTCTGAAAGGTGTTGTATTTCCTGACTCATCCTCTCTTTCACCCTATATGTCTCTCTCTCACTGTCACTGTCTGTTTAAACATAACTCAATAGGGTAGACGGTACCACTTTCACTTTTGTCTCCCTGTGTGTCTGCCAGTCCTTATTTGTCTTCCTGGCTGTATGTGAGTGTATCTTCAAGCACATTTGCGATTATCTGCTGTCAGTGCCGAAATAACAACTTTTTTACTGAGCAACTGAAACTTAGTTTAGACTCTTATCTGAATGGTGCAGTGCCAATGACAAAGTACAGCATGCAGATTAGACTGTACTGTACACATCAGACAACAACAGCACACAGTTTAACAGTTTTTTCCAAAGGAAGCCCTCCTGCATCTCAGTGCTCTGTACCTGCAGCTTACAGAACTGCCTGTATGCAAGAAAAAGTCACAGTATGGATGTAAAGTGTGGAAGTGCTGGTACTGCATACTGGTGAGCACCTGCCCGCTTAACGCACTGGTCTGTACCAAATTTCATGGCAATCTAATAGTTGTTTGTATGTATGAAAAAAATAGTGGTTGAGATATTTCAATCTGGACTAAAGTGGTGGACCGAGAGACAATGACATCCCTACATACATGATGCTAGCCTTCTTAGTTTCACCAAACCATGAGTAGTTCTTGGAAGAGGGTCTATCGCTCTAGCTCTCCTGTTGGGAGTTAGTGATGATGGAACAGTGAACAAAAGAGCTCAACAAACACAACACAGCAAACTATAAACTCTTGTTAACATTTCTTCTCAGGCTCACCATGAGTAAGGCAGGTGGTGATGAAATTGGCGGTGGCAGCAGCAATGAAGGAGCCCATCAGCCAGAGAGTCCCTCAGAGAAGGTCCTGAGCAAACTCAGTGCCACCACTTTGCCTATTGGACACGGCTGGACCAAAGTTAGTTGCCCCTGCTGTGTGTCGGAGCGGGTCGAGCCATTGGTTCTGGTGAAGCTCGGAGAGAAAGTTCGCCCTGAGACGAAAAGGTGGCTCATCAGACTGATCGGAGCTCCTCAGAAAGATGGAGGTGAGGACAGTGATAACAGTGAAGATCTGCAGGAGTCTTGTAGAGTTCACCTGTCTATCTGCACTGACTGATGAACATTTATAAGATTTCTCTATCTCCTTATGGAAGTATATTACACAAGAGAGCCATTGCCTGGAAGGTCTCTAGCATATGAATATATATGCGTGCCAGTTGACAATGAAGATCATTATAGTAAAATTATTTCTATGTAAATGTAAGCCAGAGATTGTTTATATGTAACGCGGAAAGAAAAAACCTGAGGAAAAGAAGTACATACTTATTTTCTGCAGCTACTGTATGTCAACATGTATTTTTTTTGGCATTATAATAATAAGAGTTAATTGCCATTTTGTTTCACTTCATTATTACGGTCCCTGAAGAGGTTTGTAGGAGTTGCCTAGATATATTTATCTTGCAACTAAAGTCATTAAAACAATACTTTGCCACCAAAAAATGTTAAACCCCTTTGTTGAGAATTGTAGTGGAGATGCCAACGTTTCCAAAGACACCAGATATGTCAGGCTGAAATGTGAACAAGACATCTGAACATCATGTCACCCAAGTTGCAATACATGCACAATCCACACACTTCATAACAATTTCAACCCTCCTAACAACACAACCTGGCACCCCACAAGCTGATCCAAGGGGTGTGTGTGCACAGCAGCTCTTTGCAATGGTTGAGATAACTTAATGTTAGCTGTTGGCAAAATGCCAGGACAGGATGGTGTTCAACCTAAATTTTAAAATCCCTCAATCATACTTTTGTAAAACCTGTTCTGCATGTAAATTGACGTTGAAATTTGGAAGGTTGCCAATGTTATTAGAGGAACATCAGTTGGTCAAGGTCAGCCATGTTATTTGTTCACTCTCAGTGTCATAAACCATCATGCACCTGGAACGCTTTGAGGTCGGAAACTGGAATTTTGAACAAGGAAATCTTTGAGTTCCATGAAGTCCGGAACACAGCATATAACCAAAACAGTGTTATGGACTTTCAACACGGCAGTAAGTGCACTAAAATAAAAGCTCAGAGAGCTCTAAATGCAATTAAAAGAACATATTTTAATTTCCAAATTCCAAATAAAATTTGGCTTAAAATATTTAATAGTGTCATCCAACCCATTCCGCTGTATAGCAGTGAAGTTTGGCATGCGCTTAGTCATCATAGCTATAACCATTGGGACAAATATCCAACAGAATGTTAACAGAAGTTTGCACATACATTTTACACATACACATAAAAACACCAATAAATGCATGTAAAGCATAATGATGCAGATGCCAACTGAACATTCAAAAGAAAGGACTGAAATGTTTTAATCACCTTAAAACCAGTCCCCAAGACAGCCTTAATTTCTCACCAAATCGTGCAGAATGGAGTCATGCAAGTCATGCATGCTTCCTATCTAATCTATCTAATGTTTTAAGGCTGAATTCTCATTTTTGAAATGTGACTTTAGTTTCTCACATGCCCATATGTACATTGAAACATTGAAGTTTTGGTTGCTGTAATTGCTCCTCTTCATACTGTCCCATGACGAGGTCCCTAATTTCCTCCCTTTTGGTAACTCCAAAATAAGAGTTACAATACTCCCTCTTTGCTCCACTGTTTCACCCCAGGTGCTGCATTACTGGCCCACCCGGGCGAGGACACCAGCGGTAACATCATTGTGGTCTCCGCCCCACGCTGTACATTACTTAGAGCCACTGAAGAGTTGGGACTATGTAAGTTTTACCGCAACGAGGACATGGCAGCCTTCTCCTACAACGACAGAGACAACTTTAAAGATTCAGGTACTGCAGTGGAGTACTGGACATATGGTATGGTATATGAAATGTACGTGAGCACGCTTTACATGTTACCACCTGGCTGAACGCTAGCAACAAAAAGGGAGGCCACACACAGAAATATCAGTCAAAAAGTAATTTTTTTAACTCATATGAACTAACTGGTGGGATGTGTAAGTAGGAGAGCTGTCAGTCATGTCTGAAATCATTTACATAATCTATTATGTTATTTGGGGCCTTCAGAGAGGCTAAAAGGCCTTAAACTCTGTGACCAAAGACCAGGCCATTTGGACTAAAGCCCAAACTCTCTTGGGATTCCTCCCTGGCAGTTAACATCAGCATAACTGTAACCACTGTTCTACCAATATGTAGTGACCAGTGTCATCTTCTTTGCTGTGCTGGGGAGGTGGCATCAGGACTTGTGGCGCCAACAAACTGGGCTAGCTTGTTGGTAGGGACAGAACTTGACAGTGTAGAGGCAGTGACTGATTAATTTATTTTAGTCTTCTTTTTACTTTGCACTACATTCCCCTGTGCTGCTATGCAAATTTGAATTTCCGGTACGGGGATCAATGAAGGAACATCTTATCTTATGTTATCAGTCATGTCAGAAGTGTGTGGATGAGTGAAAATATGATGTAATGTATGTTTACTGGTAAAACCGGCAAATCAAACAAAGGAAGAAAGCTGAGCTCGATGCAGGCCGGCTGAAAGAGAGTGGGACTCCCCGAAGAGCAGTCCTTTATGCTTTCTAGGAAGCCCAGCCCAGATGGACAGGTATGAGCAGGCGACCCTCCCACCTCCCACTACAAGCAAACTCCCAGTAACTGCAAAACAGGCCGCAGAGCAAGACAAACATGCAGGCAGAGTGAGAGGGGTCCTCACAATGATGAGAGAGGGTGTGTATGTTAGTTCTTTAAAACAACTGCGGCCAGGCCAGGAAGGACGAGGCCAGACACACAATAAATTTTATGGGTTTTTATTCCCCGACTGTACTCCAATGAGAACAGTGTTAATAATGTAAATTCAAGAAGTTAAGGCAGTTGGTGGTTATACAAAACACAGGAATAACTTTCTTACTCGTCTTTAATAATTATTATTATTATGCATTACTGTTGTTTACAGAGCCCTGAATTCTAATTCTCCTCTTACCTCACAAACCACCGAGCATGCTTGGGAAAAAGATCTAGGCATTGCTATAGATGATGCTGACTGGCGGGAGGTCTGGTCTCAGGCCTTGAACATTTCTGTGTGTAACCGCACCAAATCCACACAGCTCAGAATTGTACATCGTTTGTTGTCAAGAACAAAATGGATGCTAATGTTTCCCCGCTTTGCTGGAAGTGCAGTTCTGAGACTGGTAATTATGTTCACTGCTCCCTGGTCATGTGTGAAGTTACAAAGGTAGTGGTCTAGTATTATGAATGAGCTGACTGCTCACTGATAGTAAACACAGGAGACTTTTCAATGTACTGACTTTTGCTGCTAGAAGGAACATTCTACTCTTCTGGGTCAAAACAATCATGGCACAACATTGTAACGGACTGCCTTCCTAGTGAATACATCACATGCATGCTTCACTCCAAAATAGACACTTTCTATAAGATCTGGGACCCTTAATTGCAGCATATTGGGCCCACGATGTCATCCTCCTTGCTTTGTGGATTTCCTAGATCAGCCTAGCTTGTCTTTGTGACTTTTTTTAAGTGCCCACTATCTAACAAGCACCTTGTAGCCTTGCTATGTATATATGCTCTGTATTGATTCTTATCTGGATACTGCTTTGCCTTGCTGCAGGACATTGAAAGGGTGGAAGTTGGATGGAAAATGCCCCCATTGTTATTTATTTTTATTTTCATAATTACTTCCTATTTACTGTACCAACATGCCCACATTCTGCTGTTTTTTCCTTCCCTGTCGTGTCTGAGCTGTTCTGTGTGTTTTGTGTTTTGAAAAATGTAATAAAAATATACAAAAAACAACAACTGTATTTTTTATTTTCTTTGTGTGTCTTTGTATCTATACATCACTGGCTATATCCATGTGTCTGTGTGTATTCATGTGTGTGATAGACAACATGGAGGTGTTCCTGACCCTGGCAGAGAGGCAGTACATAGTGAAGTATGAGCTGGACGGCATGCGGGCGCAAAGAGACCTAAGAATACCCGGCCTCTCTGACAGCTACACACTGCATCACCGAGACAACGTCTGTGAGTGCTCTCTATGTGTGTTCACATCAGTATGAGTTAGACAGGATGCAAACACTGGAAAAATATCCATCGAGATAAATACTTCATTGTTGGATCTTTTTTCAGTTTGTGGCATTTAATAATTTCAATGAATGCCTCGGGACAAAGATAGAAACACAAAAACACATACTCATATGCAAATAACAACAGCTGAATCATTTGTGAAGACATTTTTTGCAGTGCACTCATCTCACCACATTGTAGACTCCCATCCAGTCTGCTGTCTCCACATTCTAACAGTCTCCAGCTGTACTATGTCTCTCTATGTCCTTAGCTGTTCTTCTCCACACATTTGAAATAGCTTGAGTCAGCATCTGCTTCAATGTATGTGTGTATGTAACTGTATATGTGTGGACTAGTTGTCGCTTAATTGGAAAACTCTCCCTCTTTCACCAGTGCCATGTTCTCATATCTCTCCGGGTTGAAGTGTAGCTTTGTGTAACGCTGTGTTGTTGCAGGGCAGAAGCTTGGGTCAGCTGGTGTTATTGTGGACATGTTTCCCCTCCACATCCCGGCCAAACTGAAGGATCTCAGTAAAGCCTGGTACTCTGGGAATCAGCTGGCTCAGCCACTGGGTAAGAAATGCAACAGACACACACACACACACACACACACACACACACACACACACATACAATACCACATGACTGTTTATGCACACACATACAGAAACGAATGCAAATATGGCCACAGTCTCAGTTTTTCATGCATGTGGCACCCCTGCGGGGAGTTGGACTTTACAATAGATGGCTGTGTGGGCAAACTTCTATTTTCTGCCTGTAAGACAAGTGAACAGTGTATGCACTTACACCAAACACCTCTGTCTGCTGCTTCATCCAGATTCAGTCAATGGGTATTTTGGAAGCTCTGTGGCTTTCTACTTCAGCTTCCTTGATTTCTACACCTGGTCTCTGCTCCCACCAGCGATACTAGGCCTGTCCATCACATACTTTTCAGGTAGGTGTGCAGATTTATCAGTAATATTTGTTTAAATATACTGTGTAAGGTACTTAAAGGGAGAATAAGGGATTCTGCAGAGGGATTGTTGATATTTGAACTCAACTGCCAAACAAATACAGTCCTCCCTTTAGTGCTTCACTCAGAAGCTCCGGCCCCCAAGTTTCAAATCTTAGAGATTTCTCCAGAGTTGAAATGCCTTCCCCCTTGACTTGTCATGTAACATTCTTCTCTGTTTATACTCTTCAGACCTTTTCTTCTTTGGTTGTTTCTTGGCCATCTCTCCATCTTCACAGTGTCTGGAGTCCAGCACATGTGAATGTGCCAGTGTAACTGTCTCTTCCACTCCCAAGTTACTCTGGAACTGTAATGTTACTTATTACTTCTTAAAAGTAAGAATATTACTTTACTTATTACTGGGTATTAAAAGTAACTAGTACAGTTGTCACGTTTCTATATTACTTTCACTACCCATTTTATTAACTCATGGCCTTGAGATAATTCAAATGATAATTATAATAATTCAAATAAAAATATTGCAACCCAGCCTTTCTCTTGTTCACAACTATGTGAGGCTTGGTCTGAGATTGGTAAAAGAGAGAGACTATGGCTGTGTCTGAAATCACCCACTGTTCACTATATAGGGAGCTTGCCATTTTGTAGTGCTGTCCAAATGTATTGTGAGACTGGCGGAGAGAGAAGCTTGGGTGCCTTTCAAGCAGCTGTGTGCAGAAAGTAACTTGTCAATGTCATTTTCGTGAACTGACCAATCACAGCCTGGATGGGGCAGGACATTTAAAAATATTGACAGCTGGGTGTCATTTACACTGGGGACTGTCCAAATTGGCATAGTACTTTTTATATATATATATAGAAAAGCATAATAGGTCTCCTTTAATGGCTGTGTGTTGTGTTATTTTGATAGGACTGCAAATTTACACTCTTATACAAGCTGTACACTCACTGCTTTACATTGTAGCAAAATGTGATTTCTTCAGTATTGTCACATGAAAAGATATAAGCAAATATTTACAAAAATGTGAGGGGTGTTCTCACTTTTGTGAGATACTGACATTTACGAGTATAGTAACATGCTTACATGCCAAACATGACAACTTAAATTCAAAATGCAAACATATCACTATATTAGTTTAAGGACCTCTCCCAAATCGTTGAATTCAGGTGTTCCAATCAATTAAATCAAGCTGGTGAATGCAGATGCTTCAAAGCTTTGAGTGGTCGAAAAGACTAGAAAGGCGCGTACGGAGCATTTACATAAAATCACAGAGCGGGGTCAGGGCATGCAGAGCCACATGGTGCGCAGAAGTTGACAACTTTTTGCAGAGTCAATAGCTACAGACCTCCAAACATCATGTGGCCTTGGGATGAGCTCAAGAACAGTGTGCATAGAGCTTCATGGAATGGGTTTCAGTGCAAAGTGTATCATGCAGTGGTGTAAAGCACGCCGCCACTGGACACTAGAGCAGTGGTGATGTGTTTTGGAGTGATGAATCACGCTTCTCTGTCTGGCAATCCGGATGGAGTCTGGGTTTGGCGATTTCCAGGAGAACGGTACTTGTATTTCAGGAGTTGGGCTTGGCCCCTTAGTTCCAGTGAAAGGAACTGTTAATGCTTCAGCATACCAAAACATTTTGGACAATTACATGCTCTTTGTGGAAACAGTTCCAACATGACAGCGCACCAGTGCACAAAGCAAGGTCCATAAAGACATGGATGAGGGAGTTTGGTGTGGTGTCCTGACCTCAACCAGACTGAACACCTGGGATGAATTAGAGCAGAGACTAACCTCACGAATGTGCTTCTAGAAGAATGGTCAAAGATTCCCATGAACACACTCAAATTAAACCTTGTGGACTAGTTGAAGGTGTTATAGCTGCAAAGGGTGGGCCAACTCCATATTAAACCCTACAGATTAAGAATGGGATGTCATTACCCTTCATGTGCAGGTAACCTAAAACTTTGACAATATAGTGTACTTGTCTATATGTTAACTTTGGTACCAAGGTGACAAGTCATTTAGGCTGATGGATGTCTTTGTCCAGTGCACTGAGTGCAGTTGTGGGCAGAAATACAAACTAACTGGCTTCTTCTTGCCCATCGCAGGCGAGGTTCAGAAGGACATGGAGTCGGTCTCTGGCTCAGGAGTCACAAGGGTTGAAGATGAATCAGCAGTTGTCAGCGGCCACATGATCCAGGCAGTGTTCAGCATGCTCTGGTCCACGATTTTTATGGAGCTGTGGAAGCGTCGGAGCGCCTCGCTGTCCTACCGCTGGGGGACCCTGTACCTTGCAGAGCGCTTCGCAGAGCCCCGGCCCGGTTTCCATGGCGAGGTCGGGGTCAACCCTGTGACAGGTCGTGTGGAGCCGCTCTTTCCTGAATGGCAGAGGGACCTGCGTATGGCACTGGTGTCAGTCCCAGTGGTGGGGCTGTTCCTAGGTAGAACTTGAATTTTAAAGTTGAATTGAATGAATTCATCAGTGCATGTTACTGAGCTGAAAGGTACCATGATATTCATTAGTTGCTTTATTCAATAACTGAAGTAAAATAAGTGTAAGTGATGTTTTCCAAAGACTGCTAACGATAAAACAGTATTCTCTGCTCTATAAAATTGAAAAACCAGCCTTGCCTTCAGCCTCATGTCTCGTGTTTGTTATGACTCCTCCTGCAGGGTTGGTGGTACTGGGTATGCTTTGTTTCTACTGGGGGGAGGCCCAGGTGCAACAGCTACACAAAGACTGGGACTCCCTGTTGTCTCAGACTTTGCTCTACTTGCCATCAATGCTTCACATTGTCTATACAAACATGTTGGCGACTGCTTACAGGACGGTGGCACAGTCTCTGACTGAATATGGTGAGTAAGAAAGAATGGATGCCATACGTTATTTGTGGCAAAGATTCAGTTACGAGAGGGAAAGCGTTATGGGATGGAGACAGGGAGAGAAAAAAGAGAAAGGAAAATAGTCATTTGGCCAATCAGGTTTTGCAGCCATACCAACAGTACTGTTCATAATGCTTATGATTAGCAATTAATCAGAATCAGAATCAGCTTTATTGCCAGGTATGTGTACACATACGAGGAATTTGACTCTGGATTGTACATTGCTCACAATGTGCTTACTCATACAAAAATGCAAAATCACAATAATAAAAATAAAATAAAATCACAGACTTCAGTGTAGACAACACAAATATACACACACTATGAACAAAAACAATATAGACATATTGACAAATAGTGCAGTGAGCAGAGTGCAAAGGATGCAGGAGTGTGTGCATGTCACACACATGAGTTGGATGTGATATACAGGTACATATACTGTACATGTACACATGTACACATGTACACAGTGCAATGAAGCGTAGTGCAAAGGATACTGGAATAAATAAGTATTTTGTGCAGGAGTAATGACTTGAGGTAGGTGGATTTGGTATACAGTATCTACAATATGACAATTTATGACAATTAAGTAGACAATTAATTAATCTTATATTTCCCTTTAGAGAACCACAGAGAGGAGTCTGCCTTCGAGAACCATCTGACAGCCAAAGTCTTAGTGGTCAGTTCCTCCTCTCCTCTCCAACCATGAGTTCTTACATCTTCTTAACCCAGCAGACACTTTTACCAGGCTCTTTTCTTTCTTCCCCCAGTTCACCTTCTTCAACTACTTTGCAGTGCTCTTCCACATCGCCTTCTTCAAGCAGGATGTGCCTTTGCTTCGAAAGGTAACAGTTGATCTCTACAAATCTTCCTCTGCTCTCAGTGTTTGTCTTCAAACAGGTACTCCAGTGATTTAGAAATGAACTTAAATAAATTTAGGGCTCTTCCATGAGACAGATTTAAAATATTTATATATATATAAATCCATATCTCGCACCAAAACAGGCTCTTTTAGCTGACACGAAAGCTAGCGTAGTGTTTTCTGGGAGAAATTCATGTTTTTTCATTTTTACATCAAAGAAATATGTATATTTAAAGGTACTGTAAGCAACATTCACTGCTATTAAATGTCGCACTAGAGCACCAGCGTCTCAGACCAAAGCAAATGGAACTCCACTGAGTCTATCTCGCAGATCATTGTGAAACAGACTTCATTCACACTGGACAAGACAAACTGACCCAAACCATCTTTGTTAGTATTTCCACTGTTCCGACTGTCACCAACTCTGGTTTGGTAAAATTAACCCCTTAATTCACCAAGATATTCTCACTCTACGCAACCGCAATGCAGGTTGCAATGTCTGCTGGAGACAAATGCACCAGTATGTCCACTAAAAGTGCTTTTGTCACTGACAGGCTCAGATTGTTTGAAAGTATTTGAAAACAAAGGATCCCTTGAGATATAGACCTTTTTGTCAAACTGTAAGATCCTTTTTATTTAACCAGAAATAGCCGTCATATCATTCTCACTTGCCACCAGATTCCATTGAAAAAAAACTATACATTTACCTTACGGGTCATAGTTAAAGGTTCAGTGAGTGTTTTAGTGGCAACTGGTGAAGGTTGTGAATTGCAACCAACAGCTCACAGTGCATTCATGTGCTCCGCGGACGGTCAGTCAATGGATTCTACTAAATGTTACACACTGAACCTTTAAGCACACTTAATTTCAACTCCACAGTAACAAAATAAAACTTTCTTAGTCTTTCCACTATCCATCAATCACTAAGTCTAATTTGGTTGAAACAAATCCTTAATTCACTTTGTTAGATGAAAAAAGCCATAGCATTGCTCTTCTCACAGATGATCAGTTTCACACAGCTCCTTGTTGCATAAAGAATCCAGTTTAGTATTCTCACTATTACTTACAGAGCACTGCAATGTCAGGTTCCTGAAAATGTGGCTTAACTGCTCATTATATCTTGATTATATCTTTTCATGTGAGTGTACAGCTTGTAGAACACTGTAAAGTTGCTGTCCCCTCAAAATAACACATCCCACAGCCATTAATGTCTAAACTGCTGGCAAGAAAAGTGAGCCATTTTCCCTCCCCAGAGTCATGTGACTCGTTAGTGTTACAAGGTCTCAGGTGTGAATGGGGAGCAGGTGTGTTAAATTTGGTGTTATCGCTCTCACACTCCCTTATACTGGTCACTGGATGGCATCTCATGGCAAAAAACTCTTTGAGGATCTGAAAAAAATAATGTTTGTTTTAATGTTTTTTTTTGTCTTGAAAATACCCCCCACCTCCCTCCGAACGGTTGGGCACACAGGTGAACTGTGGATTGATTGCAAAGTTTAACCATCACAGTATGAGAAAAAGTTTTTCTGTCACTGTTAATTTTTAAAATAATAAATATGTAACGTTACAGTGCAGTGAAAAGAAGAGAGATGCATGCTGTGTTTAAGCCCAGTGAGGCAAGAGCAACTTATTTAAAAGCCATAATTTCCAAGAGTGTCACTGAGTGAAACACCGTAGCTGTGACTTCGGGCATGTTCACTGATGTAACAGGGACACTGCGCTTCATCATAGAAACAGATTATCATATTTTGATGTTTATTGCACCTTTAGTAGTATCGGCTGCTTTCTCTTTAACACACAGCTCCGCTGTGTTGATAGGCTATTATTCGCGACATGTAAGCAATCAGATCAGTGCTGTGGGCGGGACATTGAGCAAATAAATAAGTAAATAAATGATTAAGTAAAAAAAAAAGTATATATATAATAAAAAATAGTCAGAGATATGGTCAGCAATTGCAAGTGTGACGGAAAACAGGCTGTTACAGTGACATTAAATTCCCATATTCTCTTTCTCTGTCTAAAGCGTCTAGCATCATTGCTGATAGTGACACAGCTGGTCAACCAGTTCACAGAGGTGGTCATACCCTACCTGGTGGATCGGTTCATCAGTGCCCCCTATAGGACAGAGAGTGAGGACGATCCAGAGGAGGACAAATTTAGGAACCAGAGCAACCTACCTGCTTTCCCTGTGAGTGTGCAGTATTTAGAAAAAGTGCATATCAAAACAGGTACTAGAATACACTCTGGCTGCGTATGACACAGCATCTTGTTTTTTCACAGGGCCTGTTTGCAGAGTACATCGAGCTCCTGGTGCAGTTTGGGTATTTGAGTCTTTTCTCCTGCGTGTATCCTCTGACGGCTTTGCTGCTGCTCATCAATAACGTAACGGAGATCCGAACGGACGCCTACAAGATCTGCAAACTCTTCCGCAAGCCCTTCTCCCCCCCTGTGGCTAACATGGGCGTGTGGCAGGTCTGCAGAAAGTTACAACGCACAATAGAAGTCAGACGCACAAAGTATGTCACACTCAGCCAGTTATGAATTAACAACTCATGTGATTGTGTTGTGTTGCAGATCGCATTCGAGGTCCTGAGTTTTGCCTCTGTTGTGACCAACTGCTGGCTAATGCTGCTCTCACCACAGTTACAAGAGCTGATTCAGGAGGGCAGAATGAGCAGCAAAAACATCCTGCTGTTGGCTGTTTTAGTGGAGGTAAGGAGGAGGAAGGAGAGGTGATGTTCAAAATAATTACACGTGTGTGTTCCTCTAACATTTTTACATCTTTGTGTGCTTGCAGCATGTGCTGATCTTGGTTAAGGTAATTTTGGCATTACTGATCCCTGATGAACCGAACTGGATCCAAAAAAAGAGAGAGCGTATTGAGTACACATCCATGCAGGCCTTGAGACAGCAGGTGAACCCCCAGACATTTCATTATTCAACATTTCAGTGTTGTCCTTCAGCTGTGTGACAACTTTTCTTTCTCCTCCTCTAGAAGCAGCATTCTGAAGAGTCCTGATTGCGTTGAGGTGATGCTTCATGTTGTTCTGTGCTGAGCTGCTACAAATATACAGTACCAACTCCTGTGTTGTGTAGACCCATACAGCAGAAAATTTTTAGATTCAGATTTATAGAGGGAAAGCTAAAGAGCTCTTGTAAATCACTTTGGCTGCAGTATGTACCTCAGTACTGTGTAAGGGGCAGACAGGACGGATTATTTGATGTTTGTGCAAATATAAATCATTTTGTGAAAGGGGTGGCTTGTAGTTAAGGAATCCACAGAAAATGATCATCCAACAGTGCAGTTCCACTCAGCTTAGCAGAGCATTCAAGCACATTGTTTTTGTCTTTTGGCCCACAACTTCACTCTCACCGCTCTCATCAACCTGTATTCAACTGTTGTCAGTAAAAAAGCTAAACACACTATATGCTACCTGCTCTGCACCAAGTTAGCATTTAGCTGGTGCACATAGTGGAGCATTTAACAGCAAAAGAAACTTTGTTTACCTCAGGAATTGGTAGAGACCAAAACAGAGCTAAAAGGAGAATGAATATCGGACCTACATTTGTCAGGTGGCCAGATACAAAACTCCAAATGAATGCTAATGTTACTTCACAGTGGATAAATAAGCAACTGTTTGGTAGTAAGTTAGTTAATATAAGATGTTAATGTTTTGTTTACAGCTTGTCCCCAAGTGGCCAAATAAATCACGTACTGCAGCTTTAATTTCAGAAAATCAGTAATATTGTCTATAGCTCCATCAAATGGAGGAAAACAGCTTAGATTGTAATTCTGTACTTAACCTTGCAGTCTATATTTTTAGTAAAAGTATGGTGACAGCTGGGTTTAGTGCTCAGTCGACTGACAGTGAAAAGTTTAACTGTTCTACAATAATGGGTTAAATATATGTATATTATGGTACTAAATCCACTTTCTTTGTGAACATGAATTGATATTTGTTTCTGATTGAGCTGTTGCGCTTGTTGCAAATGAGTGTAAATACTTGTTGTACACTGCCTTAAATGATCACTGTATGGTTACAGGATCATGTGACATCTGTAACATGAGATGAGTACAGCAAGCTATGCTGCTATGATTTGCTTTGCAATGAAAGTGTTGGGGAGCTACCAAAGAACTGCTATGTGCTTTACTATTAGACATTTATTATTTTTATATGTGTGCATTTCTTGCTTTACTCACTTGTGAGTTTGTTTAGAATGGCTGCTTGAGTTCACTGTGCTGCAACAAATAATTCACCTTCTAGGTACTGATCCTTTACATTCATACTACATGTGTTCTTTTACTGTTCACTCTTCACTGCTGGTAGATTTGACTTAATATAATGAATGAGCAGATGAATCCACTGGGGAAGTCCACCATTTCTTCCATACTTGCTTAACAGTAGTGTAGTGTTCACTATACAAGTTTTTTTTTTAAGAGTTTGTAGGTTTTTTTTTTTTACAGTCACCAGGAGGCAGTATACACTTTCCATTTTATTCCAAGTGCAGCTTTTCACAAGCCCTGGTGGCTGCAGAGTGACTGATTCAATAAAGATGCAGATGGATGAGGCTTCCTCAAGGGACTGCATCTGTAGGTGTGCCCCCCTTACACTAATCACAATCACGCCTGTGTCCGTGCCTGCTCTGTTCTATAGTGTGATGAGTTTGAGATAAACTTTTAGACAATCTGGTCCCAGGGTCAGGATTTCAGATCAGAAACAGAGGTGATGTTTGCTGGTTTTCCTAAAATAAAGTCACAGAAGGAAACTAGTTGGTTGTCATGTCTGCTATTTATAGTTAGTGGGTGAAAGGAATCAGGGTCATATTATGCTTCTGAAAAAATATAAAATGAAATTGTTGACTGTCTGCTTTACTCATCTTACTCATGAATGAGTTTTGAGTTCTTACTCAAGATAAGCTTTTAAGCTGAAACATTCCTGTGGATATTAAAAAACTGACTACAGATCAGTGTGAAACTTGAGTGTAGTATGTTCAGTTATTCAGTTAGACCAAAGCACCGGAAAAAGCACACGCAGTCGCAGACACAAACATGCGTACATACAAGAAGTCACTTCCTGGTTTGACATGTGCAGTTAATCCGTTTTTAACACTCTGCTGCCACCTGCTGAAGACAACAAAGTGATCCCCTTTTCTTTTAAATTCTTTCTGTGTGCTTCCTCCTGTACAGAATATGGTTCACAAATTTCTCACTGGTTGTATCTCTACAGGATTTGTTGGACTGGCGGAATGGATGAACCTGACTGTTATGACATTATCTCACAGGGATTTCATTGTGGTTATCTTGCCTTGGTAAAGCCTGCTTTACAGACTGGGCATGGAGTTTGAAAAATTTGACCAATTACCAGGCAGGGGACGTCAAATGAAAGAAACTATCAAGTTGCATTGTGGGAAGTGTCGGCTCCAGCATTTTTGAGTCTTGACCTATGATATTGACCAATACTAGAGGCTAAAAGTCAGGATATCTGGCTTTGCTTCAGTTTGAACCATTCTTTTATTGATTCTGTCATGCTAGTCCCCAAATTTTATGTAAGTATAATACTAAATCACTGGACTGTGAGCCTTTGATGCAACACAATTACTTACGTATTATGCATCACGTTT